AATGTAAGATAATATGCAAATAAGCAAATTGGGGTGAAATCTTTATGTGAATCTGGGTAAAGGATGTTCAGGTGTTCTATATGCTATATTTTTATTACTGCAACTTTTTCTAAGTTTGAAATTATTTCCATGTAAATTTTTTCTAAAAATGAAAAAACTTTGGTCAAACAAATACCATTGAGAATTATCAGAACACTGGAGACAAAAATAAAATCTAATAGGCTTAAGGGAGAAAAAAGGCCATATAGAAAGGATTGAAAATCAGGAAAGCTATCCCAGAAAGATAATGGGATATTGCATTCAAACTGCTAAGAAAATTTTCTTACATAATCATGTCAATATTCAATATTGTCCTCACCATTAGAATGTAACTATTTTAGGAGCATGAAGAGATGAGAAGAGCATGTGCTTGCAGAAGTGGAGACAAATCTTCAACTCCCAAAACAAGAAGATAGTGCCTCAAATCATAAAAGCAAGATAGATGACAATCCATACCATTGAAGTCCCTTGTGCACCTTCCCCATCTGTCCCCCTCCTAAATTTTTGTTGATTATTCCCTTGATTTTCTTCATGATTTTACCCCAAAAATACCCATCCCTCAACAATATTCTGGTTTTGCATGCTTTTGTACTTCATATACATAATAAAGTATGTAAAAAAATAAAAGCAAGATAGATGGACAGGAAGGAAGAAAGTTGCATTTTCCATAACATAGAAATTACTTGTTTCATTAAGTATATGCATGTGTCTTAGCTTGGGCTGCCATAATGAAATATCATAGAACAAGTAACTTAAGCAACTTTTACTCTCACAGTTCTGGAGTCCAGAAGTCTAAGGTCAGGGTTTTGACAGGTCTTGTTTTGCAGACAGCCACTTCCCACTGTGTCTTCACTTGGCAGGGAGAGAGCACAGTGGTGTGGGTGTCTCTTTAAGGGCACTAATCCCATCAGGGGCCCCACCCTTGTGATGTCATCTAAGCCTAGTCACCTCTCAAAGGCCTCATCTTAATTCCATCACATTGGGAATCAGGGCTTCAACACAAAAATTTGGGAGGACATAAATATTCAGTGCACATAACAGCATGAATATGTTTGATAAAAATAATAAAAGTGGTGATAGTTCTTATCTTGTACTCATCTTTTATTTAAGGAGATTTTTTAAACAGATTAGGTTTCATCACTAAGGATGATGCTAGAGGAGTACCAAACACCACCAGCTGGTTTAACAAGCTCTTTCCCATTAGGATTTTTCTAAAGAAAGAATTGGAATTGAACTTTATCATATACTTCTATTTACTATCTTTAAGCCTGTTAATGTGAATGTGTTATTTCATAGTAACAGAGTTTCTAAAATTAACCCATTGTTTAAATCCTAGGGTAAACTCACTTGTCACTGTTGTTTTTAATATATTGCTAGATTCAGTATGCTAAGGATATTTTGGATTTCTTTATTCATGTTCAAAGTGAGTCTGATCTATTTTCTGAAAAAAGTATCCACTTGATCTAAATTTTCATATTTTTAGCCTAGAGCTGTCATAATTTCCTCTAATTTTTGAAAACTGTCTATTAGTTTGCTTATTTTTCTCAAGCTTTTTGAGAGATTCATCACTTAATCAGCTTTTTCAAAGAATGTGTTAATAATTTTGTTGATAATCTCTATTGTATGTTTTTCTTTATCAGATACTGCAAGACCACTACAGTATCACTTTAATTTTAAATTGGAAAACTGGGAAACGCAAAAAGCTTAATTTGTCAAAAACCACACAGCAGCAAAATGGCTACTAATGCAAATGAGGTTGCCTTTGTGTTCCTGATCTTTTTAGACCCTTAATCTGAGTTTAGTCTGAAAAATGTAAGGACTTTAAGCTGCTGGAGAAATCAGCTGTTTTATAAGTATGGCATGATAGCAGTAAAACAGCACTTTGCTTCTGGGGAGTAGAAAGGTTCAAACTCAACTCTGCCACCTGGTAGCTGTATGACCTTGGTGAACTCAAGTAGCTTAGAATAAAATGATGGTCTAAACACTGAATGAGTAAACAGTAAAAAGGAATTAAAAGCGTATATATATATATATAAAGACCTAAGCACAGAGCTCACTTAATGCAAGCACATGCATGTACACACACATCCCTGAAAGGTGCCACTGCATTAACAAATGCCAGTTAGTGATTCTGATTCCTTCCATTGGAAAGCCTCTCAGCAAGGCACCAGTGTGCAATTTAACACCCACATGAAGGTACTGATCAAAGCAGGAACCAGACTGCGCTCAGGCTTGGGTGGAAAGCGCCGAAAAAGGAAGCCAAGGACAGCTGTCTTCTCTTGGCAGAGCATGGGACATGGGGTGGAGGGAGGATCCAGGCCTGGTACTGCTGCTGTGATCTTGGGCCAGACACAACCCATCCGTGTAAGGGGGAGGGAGTAGGTGATACCTGATTTGATTCCCAACCTCCAGTCAGTGGGCCTCCCAGCCCTCCTCTTGCAGAGGCACAGAGCAGGTGTAGGTGAGTCTTCCCACACGCCATGCCTCTTCTCTACTTTTTTTTTCTACTCTTGGTGCAATCTCTGAGTATCCTAATCTTTTAGGCCTCGGGGGATACAAGAGTCCCAGTTTAAAAAGTAAGCCATTTTCCCTCTACACAGACCCCAGGCTCCAGATGGGTGAGCTAAGGGGAGGGCAGAGCATTAACTCTTAACATGCCAACCACACTACTCATTGGAGGCACTTTTCTCTTTATGTTTTAGGTGTATCTAGATCACAGTATGTTGGAAACTGGCAGGAGCTGATTTAGTTGGGATACCTATTTGTAATGGAAGCTAGAGTGTAGTTTCCAATGACCACATGCACATATTAATTCACTAAAGTTTACTCAGTAAACATGGGTGCAGAGATTTTCTTCCCAAACATAGCAGAGAATATAATGTCAGCAACAGGTCTGCACTAGCACAGCCTCCTCAGGCGTCTTGATCTCCAGATGCACCATCAGTGGAAACAAGTATCAGCAGCTTAGAGATTGCTCCTCAGAAAGAACAGCAACCTGACCTTTCCTTAGTTATTTCTTTTCCATTAAGTATTTGCTCTGTCCTTGTATGAGAAGCATGGCTGGTCGCATATCTCAGACATCATCACTTGACCCATTTGGCTTTATACAAATATATAATTAGGATAAATGCATATAACTTGCATACGCCCTCAGAGCAGCCCTGTAAAAATCATGGTTGGGGATAAACCCACATTACCACTTGGATGGCTGCAGTGATAGCAGGTCACGGTTTAAAGGCTCCCTTCATATGATCACACTATTATTATAAACAATAAAAGTTAATTGCTTCTCCTACCTTTATATGAGGCTGAGCTTGATGTGTTTTATAAATAATTTAAATGGCAGGAATACTTTAAATGAGAACTCCAAATTACAAATGCCACTTCACTTGTATTTCTCTCGTCATTTCACCTTACTAGTGACTGCTTCTACAACTACATTCTCTTTGTTGGGCACCTTTAATGATTTAGGTATTGTTAAATACCTGGACACACTGAGTAACAACTGTGCTCCCCCAACAAAGACTACACAAATGAAAGAATTATCAAATAGAATTATCAAATCCACAAATGTTGCCTCAGAACAAACTGACTACTTATTAAGGTTTGTGAGTTAATGTGGCAATGGGGTGTGTGGTGTGTGGTGCTGGGAGGAAACAGTACATGTAAATTTATTTCATTCTTTTGAGCTGATCATGACACGTTAACATTGCCTACTTCTAAGTTGCATGCAGAGATCATGAGATAAAATTTTCTAAGATGGTGAGAATGGCTTTTCCCTCCACTATATTGGCAAATAAAGGGGACCAGGGAGATCCTGGTGGTAGAAACTACTTTACAGTCATCTATAGATCATATAGTACCAGTACAGAGAAATAATTACAGGGAACTGTCATGATGTTGTGTTCCAATTATGCCTAAGTATTAAACAATTATTTCATTCACTAGCTAACTCCTTAAAGACAGGACCAGAGTGATAAGCAAGTTTATTAACACAGATTGTGAATAGTGCCTCCTGCAGTTGCACAAAATGGAAAACCTGCATGAAGAGCTCCTTCAAAGTGCGGATTGAAATGCAAGTCCAACGGAAGGAGAAAATACTGCTGTGTATCCTGATGGCAACTCTTCAAAAAAGAGGGCTGTACACCAGCAGGAAAGAATGACTGGGTGAGAGGGGATATAGAGAGGCGAAATTCTTAAGAGAGATCTGACAAGTGATGGGGAATGGTGCTGTCTACATTGGGCCTCTTTGGTCGTCTATTTCAACCTAAATTATTACGCTTTATAACGTTATAAATGAAGCAACTCTGGTTTAATCCTAGAAAAGTTCATTCTCTTTTGGCATAGTGTGATGAACACTGGTATGGAGCCTTTGAAGATATTCTCTACAGTAACTTTGACTACTGAAATGGTAAATCTTATCTATAGGTTACAGATTACATGAATTATATATAATAAAAAACAGAAGATGGAATGAGGATATTTTAACTGCACAACACAATTTTAAAAATGAGAGTACTAGGAAGTAATAGTGCCTCACCCCATCTTTCTTCAGTCAGTAGTTATTATCTTCTTCCTTCACTTTACATATCATAAATAATAATACTTTCTTGCAGTTTGCTAACCCTGAGGTATCATAAGACTGTGTAAATGTTTTATTGGTTTCTATTATGAAGAAGAGTTTAGTAACAGCTATAGATGACTTGCATATATAGCAGATGGTAATCTCCAGAACCAATTACATTTACAGCAAAGCAAAAGCCACAAAAAACTGTTATAATTTCCACTGAACTGTTAAAACACAAATAGAAAATATTGATATATTTAGGGAGGGAAATCTTGATAGATGCCAATCTACATCCTAGGAGGCATATGTACCAGTAAATGATGCTCAAAATTTTGTTAAATTCTCCATTCACCATTTAACACATGGGCACAGAAAACAAATGGTACACTCAAAATATAACTCAGGAACATTTAATAAAGGGACTATTTACAGATATGTGTTCAGAATTAAGGAAACCAAACGGATGGGGAAGCACCCAGAAGCAAGTTTGTAAGAGGAAAGGGAATGTCATTAACTGAAAACTAAGGGATACAGCCATAAAAAGGGGCTACCCAAAGGAAGCTGTAGCGATAAGAGAACACAGGCATCTCCAAGACTGTGGTCCAGTAAGAAGGGAGGGAGAAGTAATAGATATTCCAACCTCTCTCTCCTCCCACCCCTCTATTCTCCTACTAGCACCGCCCACTTTGGAACCTAAGCAGAAACCTTAGTGAACAGCCCCTACAGAACAGCCTCTGGAGATGCAGAGCAGAAAAAGGAGGAAAATTGATACGGAGGAGTACACAGCAATTAGTACAAATGCGGATCCAAAATACATGCAATTCCTGCTTGCAGCTGCTATAAATACAAGTCATCCTGAGCCGAGAAAATAGTTTCCTGACTCAGACGATGCAATCTATTTTTAAAGACTCAAACTTAAGTGCTATTGTTGTCACATACTTCTAAATAGATCATAACCTAAAATACACTGTGATAACTTTGGCTTTAAGCAGTCAATCACCTTTTCAAAAGATTTTAAAGTGAGAAAAACATCTTTTACATTTACCCACATAATCACCATTTTGAGAACTCTTCATTTGCCCCTCTAGATCCAAATTACTTAGTATTATTTTCCTGCTGCCTCAATGAAGGAAGATCTACAGGTGATAAATTCTTTTTGTTATTCAGAAAATGCCTTTTTTCCAGGGGTAAGGGAGCTTTCATTTATGAAAGCTATTTTTGGTGGGTAAGAGAACTCTAGGTTGCAGGGTTTTTGTTTTGTGTTTCCTTTGAGTAACTACGGACTCACTCCATTGTCCTCTAGCTTGCAGAGTCTACAGCTAGAAGCATGCCATCATTGGTTCCATGAGTGTATTGTGACTTTTTCTCTCCAGGTGCTTTATAGTTTTATAGTTGTTCTTTTTATCACTGATTTCCATCAATTTGACTATGATATCCATTGGCATGATTTCCTTTATTTCTTCTGTTTTGGGTTTTTGAGCATCTTAAATATGTAGTTATACTTTTCATCATATGTGGAAAATATTCAGTCATTATTTTCTCAAATACTTCCTTCTGCCTCATCTTTCCTCTCCTCCTGGGACTCCAATGACACATGTTATACCACTATAACCAATTCCCTATTCTGTTTTTCCTCCAGTCTCTTTCTCCATGTACATAATTTGGAAAGCTTTTATTCTTTCTCTTCAAGTTCATTATTTTTTTTCTTCTTCTATGTCTAATCTGTTAATTCCACTGAGATATTTTTTTCTTTAATTTTCAGATACTATTGTTTTCATCCTGAGAAGTTCCATTTGGACTTTCAAAAATGTATCTTCCACATCAGGTTTCAGCTTCATGGTTTCCTCTACATTTGTTAAAGCTATGTGAACATCCTTGTTTACTAATTCCAGTCACTTCAGTCTTACCTAGGTCTCCTATCTACTGACTGATTTTTTTCCTGGTAACAAGGCATATTTTTCTTTTGCATGCCAGGTAAGATTTTGGATGCCAGACATCGTGGGTCCTGAGTACCTTTTAATCTAGGGTTAATTATGCTCACTACTAAGACAATAGTCTTCTGGGAATTCTACCTGGTGCCCATGTGTTAAAGTTGTTCCTACTCTGGCTGAACTATTCCCAGTTCTCTACTGATTTTTAGAAATTGTTAGAAATTGTCTCTGCTCTGCAGCAGTACTTTTCCTGATCTCAGGAGGTTTCCTTCCACACATATGCAGATCAGTACTAAGCCAGAGACTGAAAGGGACCCCAGAGGATTTCTGAAGCCCTCTCTGGGGAGCTCCCTCCTCTGTAGTACTTTTCCCTGCAAATTCTAGCTACCAGGGCCTCTCTCAATGCCAATTCAGCAACTCTCTTCAATTCAGCAAGATCACATTTGTTCCCTTCCCTGAACTGCAGCCTAGAAACTGCCACCAGGCAGAGGGCTCTGCAATTGTAGGCTTCACTCCACTGTGTCCACCTTCTGCCAGGGATCAAAAACCTGTGCTTGTCATATGTCTTAAACCCATTATGTTATATCCATTGTACAGTTTCTAGCTGTAAGGCAGGAGAATTAATCTGGTCTTTGTTATACCACCATAGCAGAAAGCAGAAGTCCTCACATTGAAAATATATCTACCACTTAAAAGTTATTATTATTTATAATATATATACAATGAATATAACTTTCTTATAGAATTATTTTACTAGGGCCATGCTTATTAGTTTCTTCAAATTATCAGGACAACTCCTCCATATGAAATCTCTAACATATAATATTCAGTAACTACTTTGTGTGTATTCGTACTGTATTATGGTTTATCCTTTCTTGAGCTCTCCCCTCACTTGCTACAATAGTCCTCCTGTTTAGGTCTTCTGAATATTTAATGAGCTGTCACTTTTGACTGAAAGGGTTTCTATTATTACAATATTTATAAGACTTCCACACTGATGAGTCATCAATGTGTAATAGGCTGTCTTCTGGGAGACAGCTTTCCTATAGTGTCTACTTTTTAAAATTTTCTCACCTTTTTGAATTCTGATAAGACTTGCCTTCCCAACAAAAGAAAATTCAACAGTCATTGCACCGATAGGGTTTCTCTCTGAATGTGCCCTCAGAAGTGTCAGAAGGCATTATATTTGATAGCAGGCTTTACAAAATTACTCCATTCTTAGGATTTCTATATTATATGGTCTCTCTGATGTACCAAGAGCTGTGACTTTCTGTTGAAGTTACTCCCACATTCACCACATCCATAATATTTATCACCTGTATGAATTCTCTGATGTCTCATAAGGTGTGATTTTCTAGTGAAAGACTTCCCACATTCAACACACTTATAGGGTCTCTCTCCCGTATGAATTCTCTGATGTATAATGAGCTGTGCCTTCTCAAAGAAGGCTTTTGCACAGTCACTGCAGCCATAGGTTTTCTCTCCTGTATGATTTCTCTGATGCTTAATGAGCTGCACTTTCTGAACAAATGCTTTCCCACAATCATTGCATTCAAAGGGCTTCTCCCCTGTATGAATTCTCTGATGCCTAAGAAGCTGTGGCTTCCAAGCAAAAGCTTTCCTACATTCACTACATTCAAAGGGTTTTTCTCCAGTATGAGTTCTCTGATGGTGAATAAGACTTGACTTCTCACTGAAGGTTTTTCCACATTCACTGCACTTGTAAGGTTTCTCACCTGTATGTGTTCTTTGATGTGATATCAGACTTGACTTCTGAGTGAAGGCTTTCCCACATTCACTGCATTCATAAGGTTTCTCTCCAGTGTGAGTTCTTTGATGTGTTAGGAGCTGTGACTTCCCAAAGAAGGTTTTTCCACATTCAACACATCCATAGGGTTTCTCTCCTAAATGAATTTTTTGATGTCTCATTAGCTCTGACTTTTTAAAGAAGGCTTCTTCACAATCACTGCATTGATAGTTCTTCTCTCCTGTATGAGTTATTTGATGTTTAGTAAGTTGTGGTTTTCTGATGAAGGCTTCACCACATTCACTGCATTCATAGGGTTTCTCTCCTGTATGAATCCTCTGATGCCTAATAAGGAGTGAGTTCCTGCTGAAGGCTTTTTTACATTCACTACATGCATAAGGTTTTTTCCCTGTGTGAGTCCTCTGATGAGTAATGAGCTGAGATTTCCAAAAGAAGGCTTTTCCGCAATCACCACATTTATAGGGTTTCTCTCCTGTGTGTGTTCTCTGATGTGTAATGAGCTTTAATTTCTGGGAGAAAGCTTTCCCACAGTCACTGCAGCCATAGGGTTTCTCTATTGTATGGGTTATCTGATGTCTTTTAAGCTGTGACTTCCTGCTAAAGGCTTTTCCACAGTCATTGCATCCATAGGGCTTTTCTCCTGTATGAGTTCTCTGATGTAAAATGAGCAGTGACTTCCTAATAAAAGCTTTTGGACATTCATTACACCCATATGGTTTTTCTCCTGAATGAGTCCTTTGATGAATAGTGAGCAATGACTTCTGTGAGAAGGCTTTTCCACAGTCACTGCATCCATAGGGCTTCTCTCCTGTATGAGTTCTCTGATGTATAAGAAACTGAGACTTTTTCTTAAAAACTTTGCCACATACTATGCATAAATAGACTCCTGTATGGGTTATATGATTTGTAATGAGCCATGACTCTTCGTTGCTGGCTTTTATACAGTTACTGCAATCACAATATTTTATTCCACCATGAATTCGGGCAGGTTTGATATAGAATAATAATTTCTTATTGAGTTCATCAAGTTTCTTTCTTCCACAGTTACTTTTTGGAATGAGAAAGTCAAAAGGATGTTTCAAACTTTTTTCACCTATGCCATATTTATGGGGTCTCATTGCTAAATGAACAAAGTTAATGCTTGAATGAAATATTTTCCAAGAAACATCATATTCATGGCCTCTCTCCATACTTTTTAGTTTGTCTTGATTATCTTGGTGCCACATTTTGAGATTATCTAGCCAGACTTCTTCTAAAAAAGAAAAAATGAACCACACTGTGTAAATCCCTCAATGATTATGCTTATTGAATAAAACTTCTGAAATGGAGCCTACAATCCCAGTTAAAAAAAATAAAACAAAACCCCAAAATACAATGTCTTCTTACTGGGCACTGGAAATTTAACAGATTTCAAAATAACAAATGTTTAGAAATATGAACTTTTAAATAAGGAAAAAGGCAATATACTCAAGGAACAGTGATCATGAGATAAAAGAAACTGGAGTAATTTCTAATCAAATACTGAAGTGGTTAATTTACTTATTCAACAGTAATTACTGATTATCTATTATGTGTCCAGAACTTGTTAGTAGAGAAAGATCAGGGAAGTGGACAGATAAGCAACCACCATCAGAGGGTTCACAATACAGTGAAGACTGAGAATAACGAGTATACAAAAAAATCAAGATTAGTGTAAGTTGTTGAATGCTGAAAAGGAAGAAATACTGAGAATGATGCAGTATGTAGGATACCAACTTTACACCTGAAAGATGAGAAACATTAGTTTTCTGTACTGTCACTACACTTAAAGAACATTCTCATTCACAATCATAACCTGAATCACTGATATTCACTTCACAATCAGAGCTATTTTGTGGAATTATCCAAGAGTTCTCCAGAGCTCAGCATCAATATTTTTATTCAGGTTTTTTGACATATTAACTGAATCTATAATCTATGTATTGAATCTATATTTAATGCTATCAATGAAATTATTCCAAACCACGAGATTATTTGTATAACATTAGGATATTTTTTTTACCCTGTTAAGTACAAATGTTTGTGATTCTCAATATAACCATTTACTGAATATTTTAAAGTGATCTTTTAAAAGTTTGTTTACTTTATGATAATCTTTACTGTCAATTATGAGGTAATACTCCCAGAAAATACTCTGCAAGATGAAAGACTTGGAAAGATCTCAAATATAAGGCAGCTACTCCTTTTATGTGGGATCATTTTGGCTGGGGGGAAGAAGCTTTAACTAAACTCAAATATATCAGAAACTCAGATGAAGAATTAACTATAGCTGAATTTGGAGAAGAATGAAAGGATTTTTGAGTTTAAGTGAATAGAGATGACTATGGAAAGAAGTCTGGAGACTAAAAGTAAGTGCCACATATAGACATGAAAGTGTGAGATCCACTAGAATTTATAAAAAAGTGTTTCATGAGATGTAAGAGTAAAGAAAAATAAAAAATCTTAATTAAAACATAATCAAAAAATAAGATTAAGAAACATTCAAATTAATAATGATATAAAACAATATTAAAGTATTTCAACTGTATCAAAAAAATCTTGTCATTTTGGGAAACAAGTGGGCTTCTACTGGCATTCTTGTAGGTCAAAGTGCAGGTGTGTGCCCACCTTTTCTGTTTCTTCAGTCCATTCTGCCTTCAGGTCACCATGTTTCAAACTCATATTCTAATTCCAGTCCTGTTCCCTCCCAATTCTAGTCTCCACACAGCAGCCAGTAATCTTTAGAAATGTAATCAGGCCATCTTATCCTTGCTTAAAAACCCTTTGATAAACTCAAATTTTCACCATGGCTTGCATATGCCCACATGCCCTAGCTCTTTCCCACTTTTCTGACATCCTTTCACAGCACTCTTGCTCACTACTTATCAGCAACACTGGATTCTCACCCTTTGATCCCACAGGCCTTTTCTGTCTCAGTACTTTTGCACATGCTGTCCCATCTATTGGCATGTTCTCCCCAGCTTTCAGCATCCTGGCTCACGTTAAGTCTAAGCATCATTTTAAAGGCACACTAATAAATACCCTGTTTACTTCCTTCACGATACTTATCAAATAGGCAATCATCTTACTCCTATTTGTCCCACTAGAATGTAAACCCTGAGGACAGGGAACAGGTTTGTATTTGTCACTGATGCATCTCCACTACATAGCACATAGCACACAGTAAGCCCTCAGTATACAGTAGGGTAAACACTGTCCACTTACTACTGAACTTCTAAAGCAGTTCCTTCCTGTATCATTAATCTTGAAAATTAACTTTAAATTTAACACAAATGCTTCAGTTTAAATACTATTATTGATAGTTTATATTTTCTTCTAAATTAAAATTCTCTGTTCCTGCAAGGTTATTACATGACTCTTATGTTCTCTGAATTCCTCATTCCACACAATAGCAATGACTACAAATTAATGAGGGGATTTAAAAGCTATCTTCACAGTTTTTCCAAACTTCATGTACCCAGACCTAATAATCCATATGAATAGTGACTAGACATTTGTAATTTTTAATATTTCCCAAGGTGAGCTGAGATACTTGCTTAAGTGAAAACCTTTACACTAAAGAACTACTTGATGTTCCTTAAAGAACATTCACTGGAGATGAAAATAAGAACTCAAACTGAAGAGAGTGACACTGTCTAAACAGGGAAGGCACCCTATAATCAAAGGCCAAATGCAGAGCAAAATGTTTAAGGGACAGGAGGAAGAAATAAGTTCAGAAGTGACCAAAGGAAAAAAGGGATAGATACAATGTTGCCATGCCATGAGGATCTTCAACATAATGGAGCTAAAACATCACAGAGCAGGTCATGGGTCTTCAACCCCAGCAGATTCAGTGACTGGGAAGAATGAGAAGCTTTAGAGAAGTTAAACAACAAACTTTGCACCAGAAAGATGCCCTGGAAGCTGCCTGCAGAGTTCAGTCTGCACAGAGCAGGCAAGAGGGAGAACCTGTTCTGTGTTTAAGGAATTTGACTTTTATTCCATACCTATGGGTTCACCTTCTGAGGGTTTAAAACAGAACTCTGGCAAAGTAGAGAGAGAAAATAAAAATAATAAAGGAAACTTAAAGGAATCAATGTTACTTAAATTGAGAAAAATTTATGAATTCTTAAAGAGGAGGAAAGAAACCTACCTGTGTAGGTAGGACTGAGGCAGGAGGGAAAGATAAGGAGATTGAGAAGCTAGCCCTACACAGGAAAGTAAGGTCCTAAACGACTGGCCATCAACTTGTGCTTCTGGATAGGTAAGAGGGAGTATATTGCATCATTGCCTCCATGCTAAGAGTACACATCTGATCAGGTGCTGACCAGGAAATAGAGAACATTAAAGATCATTAGGATCTCATGTCACCAGTCCTGAGTCAACTCTAAAGATGTAAGAACTTAAAACACAGTTTTATAAATAACATTTCAAAAGTGCCAAAAGTGCCATCAAAAGCTTGAGACATAACTTTCACTGTATGCAATTATTATGATTATTTCTCACCTGAAAAGTTTTGACTTAGGATTTCTTCATCTATCATCCATGGCTCTTCTTGCTCCAGCTTGAAAATTGCATCAGGTTTGATAATTTGAAAACCTGTTAATTGGAAACATAATTAACTTGGACCTAACTGCTTGGGATGAGGGACTCTTAAACATGAATAATATTTTACTACAAAGACTATAAAGTAAAGCAATTGAACAAAAATCTTTCAGTTGTGTATAGAAGTCAATGCATCTTTGATACCTGAAACATAAATCCAAAAATCAGTAAACATCATAGAGGCCCCACAATTACTGGGCACACACTACATTACATAAGGATATTCTTACCCAAAAAAACTAGATTGCTATAGTTCTCCAACATAACATCTCTGTACAAGTTCTTTTGAGAAGGATTAAGTAGCTGCCACTCTTCCAATGTGAAATCCACAGCCACATCCTCAAACGATATCTAGAAAAACATGATTCCTGTTAAATCTGAAGTGAATCTCATTGTAGAACATAGGCATTCTGCTCTACAGTGATAGGCAGCCGCTAAATTGGCCCCAGTGATTCCTAACTCCTGGTATTCATGCTTTGGCATAATTCTCACCTCTTGAATATGGGCTGCACCTACTGACTCATTTGCACTAAACAGAATAGGGCAGAAGTGATACAACATCACTTCCAAGATTAGGTCATTGAAGAAGGTGGCCTCCATCTTGGGAATCCTCTTTTGCCCCCTCTAGGGAAATCCAGCTGCTGTGTTGTGAGGCAGCCCTGTGGACAAGTCCCTGCACAGGAATGGGGAGGCCTGCCAAGAGCCCTGTGAATGAGCCTCGAAAGGGTCACCACCCTGTTGAATCTGGAGGTGACCGCAGCCCTTCTCAACAGCTCGACTACAGGGTCGTGTGAGTCCTGAGCCAGAATCAAATGGGTAAGCAGCTGGCAGATTCCCAACCCACAGAAACTGTGAGATAACTGTGTTTTCAGCCTCTGAGGTTTGGGTAATTTGTTACATAGTAGCAATGGATAACTAACATAATATCCTAATCCCACATTACACTTGGAGAGAGAAACAAAAGTGTTATTAAAATATATGAATTCATTCATCTATCCACCCATCTATCCACTGAGTAAGAAATTGGAATAAGCTGTGTTTAAATCAGTATAGTGTTTCTCAAAGAAGGTACTACTGGCATTTGGGAAAAATCCTTAGCTGAGCAAGATTGCCCCATGCAGTGTAAAACCTTTGGCATGCATGGCCTCTATCTGCTAAATGACAGTAAAATTTCTCGTTCACCATCAAAACCAAAACCACATTGATATATCTAAAACCTCTCCTCACTCCAGGGTGGTTCCACTTGCAAATAGGAACAACTAGCCAGCTCCTTTAGAGACCTTCTAGAGAACACATATATTGGGCAGTTAAGGGCCCCAGAACTGTAATAGATGCTATAAATATAAAGATGAGTAAAAAATCGTGTTCTCAAATACTTTTCAGTCTTTTCAGGTCAGAGGAAATAAGGTCGCAGAAGCCATGAAACAAGTACCTGCAGGGGATGAGGACAGAGGCAAAGGCACTAGAACAGCAAACACAGCTGCAGGGCTCACTGCCTGATTTCAAGACAGGTGACACTCATGAAGTGATAAATACTTGGGTGAATTACACAGAGAAGAGAGCCCAGCAGTAGACCCCCACAAACACACCCATTTGATTTGTGACAAAGGAGCAAAAGCAATTCCACGGAGAAAGGAGTCTTTTCAACCCATGGTGCTAGAACTGTGTACCCATAAGCTAAAGAATAAACCTCAACACATACCTCAAAATGGATCCCAGACCTCAAGGTAAAACATAAAACTATAAAGCTTTTAGGAGGAAAAAGGAGAAGGAGACAACCTGCACGACCGTGGGATTGGCCATGAGTTTTTAGATACAACACTGAATACATGGTCAATTTAAGAAAAAAATTTATAAATTGGACTTATTAAAATTTTTTTCTCTGTGCAAGACACTGTTAAGAAAAAGAAAAAAACAAGGCACAGACTATGAGAAAATATTTGTAAATCACTTATCTGAGAAAGCATTTCAGAAAATATAAAGAACTCTTAAAGCTCAACAATAAGAAGAAACATTAAAAAAGATCTTAATACGTACCTCACCAAAGATGCAGTCAGAAATTTAACACATGAAAAGGTGTTCACCATCATATGTCAATAGGAAAATACTAATTGACACTATAAAGAGATACTATATACTACAAAATGGCTAAAGTTAAAAAAGAAACATAGCCTACAAATGCAAGTGAGCATGTGGAGCAAGAGCAACTCTCAGCGATGGTAGGAACGCAAAACGGTTTGATGGCTTTGGAAGATGTCCGGGCAGCTTCTCATGAAGCTAAACACAGACTCACCACACAATCCAGCCATCCCACTCCTCTGTATGTTCCCACCTAAGTGAAAACTTATGCTCACCTGAAAACATGTTCAAGCCTGTGTGCTGATGAACACAATTGCTAACAACTGGAAGCAACCAAGATGTTCTGCAAAGTGAATGGCTACGCACCCTGGTGCTTCCACATGGCAGAACACCATTCAGTGACACAGCACAGCAATAAAAGGAACCAACTACCGATACAAACAGCAGGGATGGATCAGAGATACGTGTGAGAAAAGCCAGAGCCAAAGGTTGCACAGTTACAATTCCATCCTGTGACCCTCTGGAAAAGGCGTAATTGTGAGAACAGATCCATTGTTTCTAGCAGTCAGGGATGAAGGAGGTGAGTCAGGGAGTTCTTTTGGTGAGGTGGGACTGCCAAGTCCTGACTGTGAACAGAGTCATTAATTTATATGTGTTTTAACATGCAAATGAGGAGTCCAGTTCCTAGTGCAAAACCAGGATTTTTCAGGCCTAACCACAGGCAATTACAAAGGCTTTCCCTGGCAGGCCTCATGAGAGCTATACACCAGGCCTCCCTCCCCACACCAGGCCTGGTGTGCAGTCAGCATACCACAGGCTCCAGAGAACTATTATTCTGGTCCTTACTGGAGGTACTCTTGGTCTTGGCGTATTGTCCACCTGCTAAACTTTGCCCCCAGGCCCTGGCAGGAACTGCTAAAATCAGGGCCATGAGAGGGGTACTTGGAAGACCATTAACCAACCTACCTCTTGGGCTATAGTGATACCATAGGCAAGCCCCTGTGGGGACAGGCCATTCAGATAAAAACCAGTTCTGCCCCTAATAAGCCTGTTGTTAGCCAAGAGCAAGCAGACATACTCGCCCCCCTGTAGCCATGAGAGGATAGCCCCTGGAATGTGGTATTGCTCTAGATAGGGCCTATGTGTGTGTGCTGTCAGTGTCACAGGAGGTGCCTCAACAGCATGGGAAAGCTGCCGGGAGGGAAGAGGGGAAGGCTAGCTAGGCAGAAGAGAACTGTTCTGAAAGGCGAAGGGGAACTACAATCTGTTCCTTATGTCTGAAAGTGAGGAAGCAGAGCGGAAGGCAGAGACCCTCGTGCCTGGCTGGCCAACAGCAGCAAAGACACTTGCACCTAAGTGTGCCCAAATTCTAATAGACAGTTTCTAGGGCCATCTGTAGGTTCTGTAATGATCAGTTCTGCTGGATGATTCAGGTTTCTTTCCTAGTGAGGGGGTGTACTCCGGGCCTGTTTCAGCCCTCTAACAAGCTGTGTCCTGAGTTCTCCTTCAGATCCATGCCCTAGCTCACAGTAAGGAATTCTAGAAGAATAGCTCCAAGAAGTATGTTCATTTATTATAGGGCTTATTTATTATAAGGTTCCTGTTTTAAGACTCTTGTCTGCTAGATCATCTACATAAACAGTTTTGAGAGTGTTTTCTTTATACATAATGATCAGGAAATGTTTGCTTCTACTGAGTTAAGTGGTCTGCTTTGTAACAGAAGAAACCATGGAACTATTCCTGCTTCCCTTAGTGTCTCAGCTTCTGGGAATATCTGAGGAGAGCCGGAAGTTCACTCCTAACAAGGGAGGACCTTCTTTCTTATATACTGTCTTCCAACCATAACACTTTTTTATGGGTCTGTAATCTACTTTGTGTTTATTTTGACATATGCTTTCCCAAGTTTATATTTTTTGGTTATAATTTAAATGTATTTAGACCTTTCCTGCTGGGTGCAGAGATTCCTGTGAGCTTCACCACATCCACAGAAAAACAACTGCTGGAGGAAGACACATAACTCACCTGGGACCTAATCATTTTCTGCTGCTCGTGGAAAATCTGCTCTGTTCTGTGACTTCTCTCTGTCCTGATGCTTTGGAGAAAGGCCTCTGGTCAAAGGTCTGTAATCTGAGAGTGCACCTCCACTCCTGAGGCCTCTTCTTTCTTATCTCATATGAGTTCTCTTGTTCCTGAGAGCCATGGCCTGGAGATGCAGTGGGAATTTTATTTTAGATGGTGTAATTAATTTGGGACCCTATATACTGGTTCTCTCTTACCAGGAACTCAAGCAAGTTGTTTGCTAGACTCAAATCAGGACTAGTGGTTAAGAAACAGGATAGAAGGTGAGCTCCTGGCATGTCTCATTGAACTGGACCACATCTGGGCCAGATCTGCACCACACACTGCACTCTACAGCCCTGGCTGCCACCTGTGAATGAGAGTGAAGCCCCTTGCCTCACTGGTTCAACGGGAGAAGCACTACATCAATCCTCTCTGCAGAAGACATCAACCACGTCTGGAAATACAGTCTTGGCTCTCTCATTTTGCAGCAATATTTCTTGGGGATACTTAAGTGAAATTACTTGCAGAGATACTACTGAGTAAATACAACTCATTTGTAGGCAGGATGGTAAACAGAAAAGGGCTTTTAGATCAAAAGAGTGATGTAGTCTAAGGTACTGGCTTTCTACTCCAAAATCAGCTCTGGAGCAAAAGGAAAATGTACATAGATCAGAGGAACTCAGGGAAATAGTAAAAAGAAGAGAGACCCTTGGGGAGCCTGAGGCAGCAATGAAGCTGACAGCTTGGGTACGGGTCTGCAGCTACAGGCTAGAACAGAAGGTAGCAAAAGGAGAGGCCCAAGGAAACATGCTATATTGCTTCCCTCTCAGCTTATACTGGGACAAATACTACCTGCCCTTCCCTAAGCAGTCAGTAGGAACAGCAAAGGCCACAGGCTTCCAAGTGGTCGTGGAGACAGATAAAAATCCCTGCCAAGTTAGGGAACCATGGAAATGGCAAGAGCTGAACAGCTGCTCCCAGCATTTACTCATCTCCACCTCCCCTTCATACCCAGGGAAGCTGCTCCATATTCAGCTTCTTTCTAAGACCTCTGATCACTTATAAGGGGCCGCTTATAAGGGTGGTGGGACATGGGGCTGACCAGTGGTTCTACAGGGTCCACACTATTGGCCCCTTCCCTCCCTATTGCTCCAAGAGTCTGGCCCCACCACTTCCTTAATGCAAATTACCAGAGCATGTAGGAGAAACCT